TGACCTATTGCCCTACCGATTATGCCTGTCTGACCATTCCTTCCTTTAGGTATGTGCACCCGTGACTCAGTTGATGAACGCTCTAAACAGGCCACACTACACACACAGAGTATACACGTTAGCTAGAGGTGGGAGACACCTCCGCTACTGTGCCGCAATACCTAAAAGAAAAAAGGAATAAAATGCAAAAGGTGCAAGCCAGCTGAGCTACCGGTAACGGATGGGCAGCGTTCCGGTAAGCTACCTGCAACAGAAAAAAGTAATTTACTATTCAAAGCATAAAATGCTAAATAATGAGATTGTGCTTACAGGGAGAGGCTAAGAGGGATGGGGTGGGACAAAGAAACTCATAGCACAAACTCTACTGAGGTCGGCTCCTAGCCAGCTTCGAAGTGAGGGTCTTCATTCCTCTCGACTAAGTCATCGCTTGGTCACCGCTCCTCTTCTTCCAGCCACACCCCCGGCGCGCAAACAACGCACGTCGCGGGAGTCGGTGGGCTGGCATGCGTAACACGTGGCCGAACCATCGGAGTCTGGTGCGTGAAATAACGGTAATGAGTGGTTCATTTCCTTCTCCTGTGTCATAAACAAGGCGTCGAACACGCTTGTTGCTCACGCGGTGTTCCCACCAGATGTGAGCCAAACTGCGAAGGCATCGGTGGTCGAACGTAACTAGACTCTCTCTCTACCCCTTAGGGCGAGAGTGACGTCGCACCGGCGCCATAAAGGGCGCAGGTTAGCAAAAGCAACTCCAGCTTTTGCCATACCGTTAGTGATCACAACTTCAATCCCACTGGAGCTGACACAACTTCCTAGGTAGTGGAATTTTTGAACGAATTCTAGCTGCTCCCCACCAAGGGTCAGCGAAGGAGGGGGGTCCAGGCCAATCTTGGAGGAAGACTTTGCACTTCGATGGTGCAAAGCAAAGCTCGAAGCTGCTGATAGCCAGTGCTAATCTGTCCAGTGCCGTTTGGCACGTCTGGAAGCTGTCGCAGATTAGGGCAATATCGTCAGCATATTCCAAGTCAAAAAGTCGTTCACCTGGGAGCGGATCCACGCCTAAGTCGTGTCGTGTGAACGCGATTTCCATACTTCCTCAATAGCGAAGTTGAAGAGGAAAGGTGACAGCGGGCATCCTTGTCTCATACCGCTGTAGATATTAAGGCGGGACGACAGTTTGCCGTAAGCCCTCACTCCACCTGAGCAACGCGCGTATAACGCGCGTATAACGCCCGGATAATATTTACATATTTCTCAGGCACACCTTTCCTGAGTAGACAGTCCCAAATTTCACGTCGATCCACCGAATCGAATGCACCGTTGATATCGAGGAACACGACAATGGTGGGCCGCCAATATATTTGACTTTGTTCTAACAACTTACGCAAAGTGTAGTTGTAGTCAATGCAGCAACGACCTCGACGAAACCCGGCTTGCTCTTTACGAATATGGCTTTCACAAGTGGCAGTCAGACTGTGAAGGATGACAGAGGCAAGCAATTTGGAGGCGATGGAGATCAGACTGATTCCCTTATGGTTGCCGCAGTCTGAACTTGAGCCTTCTTCGAAAATTGGGACTATGACGGAGCGGCTCCAGACGGTTGGGAAAGTTTCCTGCCCCCACAGTTTCACTAGTAACTCGTATAAATCATCCACAAGAGCAGGTCCCCCGGATCTGAAGTGGGATGGAGGAAGATCATCTGGTCCCGCGGCTTTAGTTTACTTCAACAATGCGATCTCACGTTCCCCTTCTGAGCGATAAGGTGGATCCAAAGGGACAGCTGAGGGAGCTGGGCGATCAGTGGCCGACAAGAAACCTAACAATTCCGACCGATTAAATTACCTTTCAAAATGTTCAGCCCAACGCTGCAAGCATTTTATCAAGTTGTAGATAGGCTATCCACTCTCGCTATGTATAGTTTCACTAACACCAGGTATCCTGCTTCCCGTTTCCCGTACCAGCCGGAATAACTTTCGATGGTTACCAACGGCAGCGGCTATTTCCATCTCTGATGCTAGATGAGACCACCAGGATTCGCAGTCTCTATTCAGGCCAGCACGTAGTTTTGCCCTGAGGAATTTTGCGAGTCTCATTGTCTTCGCTTCCATCCGGAATAAGCCAGCGAGCATCGATAAGTTCCAGAGACTGCGAAGGGACCCAATGTCTATGTTGGAGATTAGAGTTACCACATGAGGATATTCCTACTGCTAGTAAAGTCTGGTTAATCTGATACCAGTGAGCTTCAACTGCATCAAGTGAGCGGTTACTCAACTCGCATGATACCGTAGTTTGATAGGCATTCAGAACAGCTGTGTTTGTCAGTTGGCTGGTGTCAATGCGCTCACGTCGTCTTGAGCGTCCGCCGAAACGCGTCCACAGGTCAGCACATGCAAGTGCATGATCGGTGTCCACACTTGTGCCCCAGATCGAGCGACAGTTCTGGACGCAACCTCTCTATCAGTAAGTTATCAAAATGTGATCGATTTGTATCCATAGCTGGTTCGATACTTTTGGACGCCAACTCACTCTCCGCGGCTGCTGTGTCGGAAATTAGTACTCGCAAGAAACAAGCGAGCATCCTCACACAAATGAAGTAACCGCTCACCGTTATCATTACCGGTGCCTACACCATGCTGGCCGCCAAGATGCAGTTCATCAGTGGAGAATTTTCCAACTTTGGCGTTCGGATCCCAGCCAGCCTTTTCTATGGTGAAGAAGCTCGTTCGATTGGCGATAGAAGTCGTCTTTTACCTAGTCATCGCAACAGTTTGTGGGTGCTGAGACAGCAATGACGTATAGACACTTGTTAGTCCCTTGCGGCTTCGAAGCTTTGTATGAGCCAGCCAATCGGACCACACACAACTGGCTACTGATTGGAATCCAATCAACCAGAATAGCTTCAGCCCGGGGACTCAGGGCAATACCAACACCGGCTTGGCTGGTACTAGAAGCTGCATCGTCACTGGATAGGCGCAATGAGAAAGTGCTGCTGGTGTCACCTGAAGGGGATCGCAGAGTGAGCACAGAGCTCGAGTCTTGCAGGCGGGTCTGCGATAAGCAGCAGATATCGATCGAGACGGTCTCTAATGTTCGGGCAAGTGCTGCCTGTTGACCGATCTGTAGCAGTGTGCGTACATTGAGGCATGTCAATCTGAAGGATGATCGAGGGCTCCAAACGGAAGTCGATGAACTAGGCTTGGTCGCTTGGTTGTACATGGGTTTGTCGACAGAAGAGAAGTGACGCTCCGCGTTAGCATGTGAGTTGAAACTAGAAGGTAAAAGCCTAGCAAACCCAGGTGGGAGAGGGCCAAGAATTAGGGAGTTGAAAATAGGGAGGATAAAAGTGAAGTTGGAATGGGACGGTAGGATAGAAAATGCGTAAGCGGGGGGATAAGAAGATGGGAAGGCTTGAGCAGTAGCATCCAAACCCCTATCCACCCTGCTCGATGCAGCAGATATGGCACCGTTGATTATGGTCTGCGGTTGCCAGAGCATCAGAAATTCGTTTGGAGAAATTCATTGTATTGCGTGGGCAGAATACTGTCAAGTTGCCCAGGCCTAGACAGGAGGACGATTATGGTTCTCAACCAAAGTCTTTGGCTCAAAAACCTGACCGCAAGGCAGCGGGTTTGGCTGTGCGCTAAACGGAGTCCATTTTCGGAAACAAGGAGTCACCCTCATTCCAACCCCCAACCTGGAGGACCAGGAGGCTGAGTTGATCTGGACTCTAACCATTGACCAATCCGGTATGAGTGACTCCGAAAGTGCAAAAATGGACCACCCAGCATAGCTCAACGGATCGCTAAGATCCAGCCTCATTGCGATGGACAGGCCACACCACATCCCATTGTAATTATCCCCCAATCCCACCGCTTTACCCGTCTTATAAAGACACCGTGCACCTTAGGGCCGTGACCTCGTACCACCGACGCTCCGGAGCTAGGCTTGCTGACTCGGATCGAAACGGTTGTCATTGTAATTGTTCTGAGTTTGAAAGTATAATCCTTGTGGCATTTATTGTATATGGTTCTTTATAGATTTGCAAATAGTACCGTTATCCAGTTCCGGACTTAATGTTTTTTTTGATCCCGGTGGAAACGCGTCACTGGAACCTTCAAGCTAATTTTAAGTTTTGCGCGCCCCTGTCGAAGCATGTAACATAGAGTCATTGTTATCACTTCTACAATGTGGGAAGTACAGTTTTGATGTCAGGGCCCGAGACAGGTAATTGAAGGCGCACTATAGCTTAATTTGAGTACGAGTTTTTTGGATGCGTGCACATATCTAGTAGAGAGCAAAAGCTGTTGTTTATTTACCACTGAGTATGCATCCTCAGACTTCATATTTGAGATGAAACCCGCGGTTTGCAAAACATTTATTGTACATTGTCTGTTAAGGTGGCGTTCTCGAGGGCATACATCTATTAAACAAGCAGGGAAAAGGTGCACGCAACCTAACTGATGCAGGAGGGGTTGCATATGAAACGGGTCTTTAGTAAAAATATCAATTTGGTGGACGGATCTAGTTCTAGGTTCCACAATTTTAGCGCTAAAAGCAAAGTTTGTTCTAGCTATATAGATGGAATTTTCGTACGTCGACTGCATCTGTTGCATCGTTCCTTCGAATCGTACGATCCTACTCAGTTCGCTTGGGCGGCGTCTAATTGGCTTTATGTCCGTTGGCCCCAAGTATGTTTTGTACATTATAATTACTAACCGCCGCCATTTACAGTAAACACCGCTTGCCCCACGGCTTTGGTAGTTGATAAACAGATTACATCACCTGACTTAGTGCATCAGCATCGAGACACTTTCTTTCAGAAATTATTTCAACACATGTCTTACTACTTTTACTGTTTTCATTACCGTATTGAAGTCCTGTCGTAATCTACGTAACTGTTAGCTTATATCACTTTATCTACTACATTCGCTCCAAATAATTTCGCCTATCCTACCGGGAATATTTCCGTGAATTCTCCGTTTATTCAATGCTTCCAGTCATACCTTCGCCGAGGAATCCAGTATTACAGATCAACTGTGTTCGCCAAAATGTGGAAGAGTTTTGCTCCATTTCTGCTTACTGTCTTACTGCAAGCAGCATTGGGAACTGAGGCGAATTATGAACGTCAGTTGCCGCAAATGTCTTTCCAAAATGCTCTGCTGAAACTTCAGATATACGGTAAGAAGTCGTACAGAGATGCGGTTGTTCAGACTTTGCACTCCACTGTGAAGCGGATATCGCAGGTTCATCCAAGAAAATACTCTGCATTCTCTGACCTACTTGAAGGCTCTAATCGACAGTGCTTCCTAGACATGTCCTCAATTCTATCAGAGATAGGTAATCGCAATCTGAGTGGTCTCCAATGTTTGTTGAACCGTTCTCTTTAAAATGGCTGAAAACATTCAGGGGTCGATGCATCAGGACACCTCCCCAGCGGACTAACTGGTGGAGCTGTGCACTGGATTGGCAGCTTCAGCGTCTGTTTGAGTATCCCAGAAGAACTTTACCCGGTTAAGAACAAACTTCCGTCTCAATACTGCACTGTTAGCATAAAAATTTCTCTCCCCGAAGAACTGCCCTCGAAAATGGTAATCTTCAGTTTCCCTAACAACTTATCGTAGCCTTATGGACTTACCATCGGCTATTGCATCCCTCGCTCATGTGCTGCGCACATTTCTACCAGGTTTATATCCAAAGGTAGATGTTAATATAATCATAATCATTGAATAAGTGACCTCTCTTTTTTCGTTAGAGCTCGATGAGATGGCCACATACTGCCACACAAGTCCTTCTGGTTTGAAGAAAGACGTTTGGTTCTGGATCGCTGTGTGAGTACCTTTGTCTTTATATGCAACACTCATACATTAGTAACTTTGTTAATGCTTCAACTTTTAATGATAAAGTAAAAGTCTAGTTGGTTAAATATAAGTATATGCTATAGACATGAGCTCAAATGCCGAATGAAATAAATCAAACAATATAACAGGGGGCAGAATCGGTTCATCCTGGTTTTGTGGTGTTTGCCGAGTTGAGCAACTTGATTGCAGACGTCTCGTAATCCTTCGTGGTGACATCCTCAGTGCGGAATTTATGGCGTGCAGGTAGTAGAAGCTGGTAAAAGGCAAGCCCAGCGACGGAGCCTGTTGAATTGCTTCACTCGTAGGAAGCCAACCTAGAACATGCGGTTGATAGAAAGCAGCGGAAGTGATTATTGTTATACAATGTAGCCAACGTAATCCTCTGAGGCGTGAAAATAGAACAAGCGCTGTGAGCAAACATCTACAACAAACAAAGTACCAAGCGATTAACAGGGCACAGCATGTAATACGGCACATGGCTGCAGTCTGGTTCGCAAATATCCCGTTCAGGTTCGTGTAGATGCATGAAGCGGCAAACGTTTGTTTTCGGTCTTGACATTCGGATCAAGCTACGTCACAGTTCAGAATGTAAACAAAATATTATTACACCAAGAAGTCAAAATAGCTAATATATCTCCTTCGATTATTCTCCACAGGCCGTTACAGTAGTAAGCATAAGACATACAACGCGGTAATCTGCTGTCAGCTTCGCTCAGGACGCTTAAGCTAAGAGTTTGAACGGAGTCAGTAAGTCGGATCGATGCCTAGCTCGATTCAATTAGGGTAGACCTCGCTGCCGATGGTAAGCCGGTAGTGTCCGAGACTGGATAACTGCCGCATGGCAGGGCAGGAGAAGCACTTGTACCAAGGCTCGCTGCCTGCACAACTAAGGGTTAGGTCAGTCTGATGAAAATTGCTTCAGTTATCTTCAAGAGATGCCTTCTGAGATCCTTCGGATAACGTGGTAACACAAAGTAGAAGATCTTACACGCATCAGATTTTCGAATTTCGTGTCTACTTAGGATCAAATGTCCCATGATAGCGTTGTTTGTGCTTCTACCCGTGCCTCTTCTTAACGACCCTCGGCAGCGTCATCCTACCCGTTTTGACAGACCCCTGGTTGTGTGCCCGAGGTATTTTGAACCACGGGTGCAAGTAAATTGATACAGGACGGATGAGTGGGACAAGACCGGGATTCCGACTTTGAGACGCGGGCTAACAAAGGGTGCGGTCTGAGTAAGCACATATGGGTAGGCGGCTGGGTAGGTTTTACACACTGCGACTGAGAGTCACCTTTTCAGTAAGTCCAAGGCAACTTCTCTTTTGAATGTGAACGACAGCAAACACCTCCTTTTTTGGTACGGTCAAAGGGATTTCGGAGCGCAGACAAATCGTGGCGTGCTTTCTGGTAAACCAAAAGGGGTATGCGTTCCCTTGAAACATCTTGAAACTAAGATGTTTCCTCCCTCCCAGCTTCTCCGCGCTACAGATTTTTGCGGCACGGTTATATAAGCAACTCACTATGTTTCTCTGGTGTTAGAAAGGTACAAAGCTTGAAAAGTGTGTGTACTGTCCAGCCCAATTCGGCTTCCGGAAAACGCTCCTCTCCAGAGAGCCGTCGTTCCGTTGCTTCAGCAACACATTCAAAAAGGCCAGTCTTCCCTTGCTTTCTGTCTTACTGATGAAATGCGGCGCTAGATCTGCGCTGTCGAACTGAGCTAATAGACGAGAAATGTCTCTGTTTGAATCACAAATAATGAAAGTATCATCCGCATATTGCAAATACGACTCAACCGTTGAGATAATTAGCCAAATGGTCTGTGTTCAAGCTTCGCCAGGAAGACGTCAGCAAGGAGAGGTCCCAGAGGTTTGTTGGGATGATCTATCTTGCAGTTGGGCTCTGGAATCGTTCGGTACCGAACTGCTGGACTTAACGCTGCAGGTACGACTTCACCAGTTTGTGGACCTCCGCACTAGGCACATGAGCAATCAACAGCCGTCCATTTTAGATCTTGTTTTTGCTAAGTCACTTGCCTTTGTAAATGACAATAAATACGACTCGCCTCTTGGCGCTAGCGATCAGGTTTGCTAGTCTTTCCAGTGTGCCCTTATCAGGCCTTGCCAAGCTACTACCACTTGGTATCCGAACATTTGGGCCGCGGACTTCCAAGCGATGCGAGATAAAGCTAGGTCATCGCCTTGTGTGATATCTGAGACCGATAATGTTCACATAGCCTGGGAAAAACTTAAGGCTCACCTCGTCGACATTTCTGCACCTCACATCCCACTGGTACAAAGAAAAGACTCGAGAGCACAGCCTCGGTGGATAGATTCCGCTGGGAAGGGCCTGCTAAAGAAGCGGTCTAGATGCTGGATAGCGTACCGAACAGCTCCGTCGAACAGCACATTTGACAAGTATCGGTTGGTTCGAAATGAGTTCAAGCTACATCTTAGGTTGGCCCGGCTACAGTATGAAAAAGGCTTAGCTAATATTGCCTCGAAAAAGCCCAAGCAATTCTTCGTTTACGTTAGACGACGCTGTGGTGCAAACTCACCCATATCACCATTGCTTCGAAGAGATGGGACCCATGCCTATAGCGACTATGACAAGGCATGCGCATTTGGTAAGCAGTACTCAAGCGTCTTTGCCCGCAAAACAAATACGCCATGTAAAGAGTTAGCTTCAAGAGTCACTGACGACTCTTGTCTGGATGAACTTCCTGTAACTGAGTACCAAGTTCTCCGGTTGCTAAGAGAGGTAAACCCAACTAAGGCTTCTGGGCCAGATTCTGTTCATCCAAAATTGTTGCCCAAATTGGCAATGGAACTCAGTGGACCTCTGACTTGTGTGTTTCAGAAGTCACTCAACAGCTGTATCTTGCCTACCGAATGGAAGAAGGCTGTTGGCTAAAGTTGGACTTGGAGAATCCGCTGGTGGTTGGATTGCTACAAGCAACCCCTATTGAGACCTCGGTTCACTTGAGGTGGACCTCGGTCATTCCGATCACAAGGACCGTAAGTAAAATGGAAACATTATAGTGTTGCTCATCCCAACACTGGCACCTGAAGACCGCGGTTTCGTCCTGGTTGGGATTCATCAGTTCAAGATAGCCTGAGTTGGGCTGGAACTCAGAGCCTAGTGGCTCAGCCTGGTGGCTGTTGTCTGCCCGATTTTCAAGTGCGGTGACAAAGACCTACCGGCTAATTACATGCCTGTCAACTTGACTAGCGTGGTCGTTAATTTACTTGAAAAATTAGTACGAGATACCGTGGAGAACCATTTACATGTGTTTAATCTGCTTAGCGTCAGGCAACATGGTTTTCACAAAGGATTTTCGAGTCAGACGAACTTGCTGGTAGCTCGTGAGTGCTGGGCTGAAGCCGTAGACAGTAGACATGCGGTGGATGTGGTGTTCATTGACTTCGCCAAGGCCTTTGACACTGTTCCCCATTTGCGACTCTCGGTGAAGTTGAGGTAGTATGGAATAGCTGGTCGCGCTCTCCAGTGGGTGTCAGCTTTTCTGGATGGACGGGAACAGTGTATTCGTGTGGGAAGCTGTCTTTTGTTTTGACAAGTTGTCCTTAGCGGCGTTCAGCAAGGCTCTGTCATAGGTCCGCTGCTTTTCTCAGCCTACGTGAATGACTTGCCGGGGGAGTTTGAGGTTCCATCGCTCTTATTGGCTGATGACCTAAAGCTCTGGAATATTGTTGATATCCCTGTGGCTCTTCAACGGGCTCTGGATAGACTCTGGGAATGGTCTGTCTTGTGGTTGCTGCCCATAAACCGGGCAGTGTTCAGTGTGGAGTATCGGAGCGTCTACTTCCTCCACAAGTTATGTGCTCGATGGGAGTGAACTTCCTCACGTGACTCATCAGGTTGATCTAGGTGTCGTCCGCTGTTCCACTACTCTGGCGACAACTGGAAGAAGGCGGCTAGTAAAGGGTTCCGGATGTTGTGGTTTATCCGTCGTTCTTTTGGGACCCTAACTGCTGATGTGTTTCTGAAGCTCTTCTCAGCTTTTGTGCGACCCCACCTAGAATATTGCGTCCAACCCTATCCACCATGCCTTGTCCGGGACAAAATGGCACTAGAAAGGGTGTTGAGTGTCGGTACTAGGTTGGTCAAGGGATTACGAGGACAAACGTACCCCGAACACCTACTTAGTTTGGGGATGCAGTCAATGCACTATCGAAGGATTAGAGGGGACCTAATCCTAACCTACTGTATTTTGTCTGGGAAGGTTGGCCCTGATTTTATCCTGGCTATTTAGTCCTGCTAGATTATCTGGTCTCCGTTGACATTGTATAAAGCTGGACAAACCGCGGTCCGATCTAATTAGATCGGAGACACGATTATCGCGTCGTCATCGAGCGCTGGAACCTGCTTCCCGAAAATGTTGTCAAGGAAGCTAAAGGTTAAAGGGTTTGAGAGTCAACTAGACGCCCTTGCGTGGCAACACGATACCTTTCCTTTTTCTTGACTAATTACCATCTTCATAATTCGGTTCTATTTTCTTTACTTTTCCTCGCCATTGGTATTATTCTCTTCTTTTAACTGATTTGCCCTACTCTCTTACCTTCGCTTTTTCTTCCTCACTTACTTCCGGTAACTGACAGAGCAGGGACAGCTAATGTAAGGAAGGTGGGCATTAAATTGGTGAACCAGGGTGATTTTTTCAAGTGTTTTCCTTTTAGACCCATCAAGAAGTCGGAGCACCCCTATCCTGGATCCACGACCCGCTCAAGAAGGAACACTTACGGGATTCATCCTATCGTTCCAGTCCCACTTGAACTTGAACTTGAACTAGGGGGACCACATGGCCACACCATCAATTTGCCTGTAATAGATTCCATGAAATAAGAACTGCATGTTAAAGGCGCATCGTAAAATAAGTTCCTTTATTGGGCTTGCCGGAATCTCAAGATCTATAGTCTTGGTAGTAATGTAATCACAAAGAAAACTGACGGTT